ACAGTAGCAGATCAAGTACATCGCGAGGCAGTTTAAGTCTTGCCAAATAGTTTTGTCCGAAAAATTGCAGAGCTGGTAATTCCTTTCAGGAGACGAAACGAATAACTGAAATGTCAGCAGGCTGACCAACAGGCGATGCAACATTGATCAAAACAAGTAAAGTTAAAACCGCCAGCTGCACAGCTGTACATTTAAACCGCCACAAAATTAAAAGCATTTGAGATCAAAGATTTACAGTTCTCAGTGAAATTACACGCATGGCGTGATGCTTAAAGCGATTACTTACAGCAGATGGCAGGTGTCTGAAAACTGAATCATCAAATTTACATGTGTGCAACAACTGCATGATAAAACTTACGAGGCAAGGCCTGTGATGGACAGATCCCAAAGTGCGATAAGAAAGTGCTGCGAGTATTCGAATGCGAGAGGATGAAGACGAATCAGCTGTGCGATGCAGTCAAGAAAAAGCAGAAATGTTGCTGTACAGGACTGTGACCGTGAATTCTGGAATACACTATTAATATTGAATGATACAAGGACTCGTGATTTTATACATTTTAATAATGACACCGAATACTCCTACATATCGGGCACAGCTATGCCAGTTCCTTCGATCCTGAGCTGCATACCTCCAACTGCTCGCGATGTGCGTCTCTTTTCGAAGGTAGCCCAAGTAGTCGTTCAGTTTCTTGTGAGTGCCACTCACTGGTATATGAAATTCACCGCTTACCAGCAAGATGGGCAAAAAGTTCTGCTCACCGGGCTTTATTTTCTTCTGCGGTCGCTCATCTGCCACAAACTCTATTGCCTGTATTGTCATGAGGGACTCTCTAAGCACACTTTGCTCCGCCGCTCTTCCCGTCAAAGCTCTTTCGTTTACTTTAGTGATCACGTTTCATACGTCACTGCTTCCGACATAATAATCTTCAAGAGGTAAAGAGAGCCCTTTCGGGCATAACGCTGTGAAGGCATTCACGATGTTGCAAAATTTGCTCCAGTCGGTAGTCTTTTGACGTGCAATTTCCAACTGACAATGAACCCACTAGTTTTCAGCTCGCGAAAGAAACACGATCATAACCGAATGTGGTTTTCGTCAACAAAAGAATACTGTTCCCGTAGGTAACTTCTCTAGTCCAATCCGATTTCTTGTGAAAACAAGTAATGCTTAACCAAAAGAACTCAAAAAGCTCTACAAACAAAAGACTAAAAAATGACGAAAGACAAACAGGGATACGAGAGGAGAGGCTACAGCCGAACATGTTCGACCCAAATGGATGTCCCAGCGCTATCCATTCTTTTTCGATCAGTGAGCTTAGGCCAGCAATTGTACGACAGAAACGATCCGCACAAATCTGGACCAGTGATGCCACAACTGCTGAGGCATTG